AGACCAATGCGACTCTGCTTGGCTGGAGAGTGGGCGCCTGTCCCCACCACGGTGGCACCCACCTCCTGCCACCGGCCCTGCCTACAGCGCCACATTCCTGAGTGTCCTGTCCCTTGGTGGCCATGCCATGTGCCTGGTGCCGTTGCAGGTGAGGAACGGGACACTGAGCATCGCTGTCGTGGAGCGTGCCAGTGCAGGCACTTACACCTGCCATGCTTCCAGCGAGGAGGGCACCATCACCCACACCACCCGTGTGCTTGTGCAGGGTAAGAGCGGGTGCTCTCCCAGCCCTGGCTGCATGGGCCACCCCACTGGGTGCTGCTGCAGGGCACAGAGGAGCCACATTGCAGGGGTTGGTTTTGGGGCAGGCGCAGGAATGATGGGCTTTGGGAGCAGCTGAGGCTGTCCCCTGTCCCCAGCCTTCACTGTCCCCTCTGCCCCACACTGCAGGGCCACCCATCATCGTGGTGCCACCCCAGAACGTTACTGTCAACATCTCCCAAGATGCCTTTCTGGCGTGCCAGGCCGAGGCATACCCGGGAAACCTCACCTACACCTGGTTCCAGGGCAGCAGCAACGTTTTCCACCTCAGGTATGGTGGGGACAGGGATGGTACCAAGGCGGCTGCGGGCTCCTGCCAGCAGTGCTGGGGCCAGCAGGCTGCTGTGGCCCTGCAAAGCCTGGATCTGAGCGCAGTGGGCTGGCTGGGTGCATGGCGGGGGGTGTTCACTCATCCTGGGGCACTGGGGGTGGTCCCAGCCGCACTGCTCACCACTGCTCTCCCCTTCCCTTGCAGCCGCCTCCAGACTCGGGTCCGTGTCCTGGTGGACGGGAGTCTCTTGCTCCAGCGAACAACCCCGGATGATGCCGGCAAATACACCTGCATCCCCAGCAACGGGCTGTGGAAGCCACCTTCTGCCTCGGCCTTCGTCACAGTGCTGTGTAAGAGCCCTGCAGCCCCTCGTAAGCCCAGGCTACGCTGTCAGTGGCTCCGCTCACAGAAAGGCTCTGCTGGGCC